GCTTTTTGGGATAAACAATTTCGATTTTGTAATAACTATTAATTGAAACTTCTGACAAGCTGAATATTTGGGATGTTATATTTTATGTTATGTTTTTTTTTGTGCATTTTTAAGTTATTAATAATTTTCAAAAAATCAACTTTTGAAGCTATTTTTGCAATAAATAAGCAACAGATTAACATAAATAACTGTACTTGCCTCTATTTCAAAGGATTTTCTATGCTTTTTCAGTAAAATTGTGTCACTTTTCTATACAGTGTGTAAAAGCCAAATGGAATAAATTCATTATTTAGGTTACTGTACATATTTATAAAAAATCCCGAAACACGTCAAATTTAAATTATAACTTTACATTATTTAACGTGAAAATGCAACCCCTACCTTCAACCCCCTTAGAATGACAGGTACAATCCACAATTTTTAAAATAGGAAGTATAGGCTTGTGATATATTGTTTGAAAGGTCTTTCCATTCTCCATTCAAAAATGTTGTCGCTTTCAAGTTTATTAAGATTAATTAAGATAAAATAAATTAAAATCATGTGGATACCGAAATTCGCTACAATACAATCAAAAACTAAAATGTAATAAAATGTAGAACACGAAAAAGAACTATGAATGTTAATGAAGTAGATGTTCAAAATGTTCACCGCGAACGTCTTGGCAACATCCTTCATGGCTACATGGCTCTTCACATATCCCCATAAAAAGAAATCTAATAATGTAAGATCAGGTGATCGCGCTGGCCATTCAATCGATCCTCGCCTCCCTATCCACCGATTGGGGAAATATTGTATCAAAGTACTGCCGGACATTAAGTTGGTAATGTGGTGGTGCTCCATCCTGCTGAAACCTTATCGTATTCGCTAGAACTTGAGGGTTTCATGGATCAGGATATAAATTTGCCAACGTTGGAATGACATCATTTTGAAGTAGTGCCAAGTAATTGTTGCCATTCAAGTTGCCCTCAATGAAAAAGGGACCAATGATATTGTTTTCTACAATCCCTGCCCAAACATTAACTTTTTGAGGGTGTTGAGTGTGTTCTTCTCTCATCCAGTGAGGATTTTCCGTGGCAGTAGCGGCAATTTTTTCCGATTAGCATGACCGTTAAGTGAAAAAGTACTCTCATCAGAAAACATAACGTCTTCTAATTGGATAATATTGTTATCCAACATGTCCATCATTTGCTCACGAAAAAGTTCTCCTATCAAAATCGTCTTCCTTAAGGTCCTGAGTAAGTATCATCTTATAGGGATGCAATTTATTCTCTTTTAATATGTTTACTATTGATGTATGGATAGCATTGAATGTAGTAGATGCCTGTCTACTCGATGTATGTGGATTTTCCTGAAACTCAAGCAACACATCTAATTTGAGTTCATCACTCAGTGCATTGGGATTCTTTTTTTTATCTGCCTTACATGACCAAACTCGCGAAACTGCTTCTCTATTTTACTTATTGTTCCTTGGGATATAGGCGGTAAATTAGGAAATTTCTCATGAAATAGGCGAGTTACTTCCTGTTGTGTTATCTCCGTAACCAATCATTTGTAAAATTGTTATTTTATGCATTTCCGTTAATCTAACCATTTTTCAGAATTGAATTGAACGAACTTTTTACTTAAATTAAAATACTGACAACTTAAATAAAACAATTTACTAATGCGTGTTAAAATAACGTTGCCACGGAAATTCTTTAAAGTTTTTTAATGGTTACCATCTAAAAACCACATTGCTATGGTCAGGGGCGGCTCGTGATAGTACAAGCTGGTGAGGCACACTACACTTAAGGAAAATTATTATTATTATGGTTAGCTTCTCTTTGCTCCAGTCATACCCGGCTAAGGAGGCATTGCTCGCGCCAGCAAACAATGACTTGGCGTGAGAAGGACTTCTGACGATACGCGCGCGGATCAACAAAAGTCATCCTCACCTCAAAGCTCTCCTAAGCCCTCCTCCACCCTCCCTTATGTGCACTGAAGGTGCAACATAAGGGCTGACTGCTTTTTGAAAAAGTCCGCGATTGAGCTGTATTTATGAGCACCATGTGTAATAGGGTGCTCATAAATGTAACTTAAATCATACCCAAGGTGTCGTTAAGCGACTTACTCCCGTTTATCATGAAATCTCATATCGTGAGATAAAAGCGAACGAAAAACGAGGGAGCTGTAATCCTCGAACCTGCACCTTGGTTAGCGGCCAAGTTGTAGCCTCAAGGATCTAGGTGGCCTCTCCCGTGGCCTTTTTGTATTTTTATAATTTTTTTGTGAATTTTTTATTATTTTATATTTTTTTTTGAATTTATATATTTTTTATTAATTTTTTTGGGATTTTTATATTTTTTTGGGGGTTAGTAGGTATTTTTTATCTGGGAGATTTGTTAGTAAGTGTTATAAATGGCGACTGCTAATCTAGTGCCATCTTCTTCACGATCAAATTTGGTAGATAAAAATTCAAATAAATCTTGAGCAGAACGCCCGGAACTTACATCGTAAAATCCTATGAATCGTTCGACTGGTTTATTGTTTATTACGTAACGAAAAATAACGGATAGTTGTGAATGGCAGCTTATATCAGTAGTCTCATCCACCTGCCAGGAAAAGAATAATGATTTTGAAATTTCTTCCTCAATTTTTTTATTTATAACAAAAGCAATTGAATCGATTAATTCATTTTGTATGGTTTTAGATGTCCCAGAAAAAACTGATCTAGAGTCATTATCATGTTCTAAAAATGTTTTTAAATTAGTGTCAAATTTACTAACAAGAACAACTAGCTCTTTGAAATTCCCGCAATTTAAAGATTCATTAGATTCATCATGCCCCCTAAACGGTAACTCTTGCATACAGAGGTGTGACGTAATATCTGTAAGGCTTTTTAAAATTTGCCGATTTTCTTTAACCCTAGCATTGAAATTTTCAATATCTATTTTACGCGAATTGTCTAGTGCTGTAGCGATATTTTGCTTTTGTTTTCTCATAAGAGTAAGCTTGCAATTCGATGTAATATGTTGAGAACTTTTATTGTGTAACAATAGACTCCGAGACAAATTTTTCAAATCAGTATAACCATTTTTGAACCAAACTTTGTCGCTAGTATTAGCTGTGGCAAATAAAATGCATGGCCAACAAAACAATTTATTTAATGTTATACTACCCGTAAGCCAGTCAAACTTTTCGTACCATGCATTTTGAAATCCCCGATTTGGTTTTCCGACGCCACCGATAGAAACAAGATGTTTACTTAAATCTGGAATAGGTCGTTTTACTACTTTAACTATATATAATTTATCTTCATATGAATGACTTGAAAAATTCTGCTGTTTGACTAAAAAATTTACGAGATTACAAGTATTACGAATATTTACATTTACCTGGGAAAGTTGTGACGAAGTGCTCGGTGCTAAATCCATTTTTCACTAAAACCGAAAATCCTGCAGACAAAAACAAACCCACCAAAATTATTAAAAAAACTTAATTAGAATTGCACTTATTATATAACATGTAATCTTACTGTTTTTTTAATGAAAAACAACACGAGATACGTCAAACGTGATCCTGCCGCACCAACAGGTCAACAGGAAGTAATTTAACTACTACTTACTACAACAATTTTGCAGAAATGTTCCAAAATGTACCAAAGTTGCTAATCTGGTAAATGCATAGAAAAAAAATATTGTTTGTTAAATCGGAAAACAATAGAACAATATGTATAGTACCATCTACTAAAGGAAAATACTCCAATGTTGTTACAATTTTCAAATAAAAATCTATGTTTTATTTAAAATGTACTTTTATACCCCGAGGGAAAAAATGTAGCGAATTGGGTACCTTTGTACCAAAACGGCAACGCTGCTAATTAAAAGAACTACACCAAACGAGAGAGGCTTGCCTCTCCTGTTCGGTGAAATAGTGGGCAGAAAATAAATAAATCATGTTGAATTTCGCTACATAATGTGATGTCTAATATGCTAGACAGAGCAATGCCGTGAGGCTTGCCTCGGCTATAATTTTTAAAGAGAGAATGAGATGCACAGATGATAGGCGCCGTTGTTTATTTAATATTTTGTGGTTTAAGCTTGTCCCTTGTCCGGCCCGTAGATTATGAAGAAATATACAAAGATAAGACATCAGGGGTGTACCTATTTTAATTTTTTATCATAATGAAAATAAAGTTATTTAGAAAATTCCAAAAAGTTAAATTGTAGTTAAAGAACGTAAATAGTCGATTAATACTGGTGAGGCACTGCCTCACCTGCCTCATAGGACCAGCCGCCCCTGGCTATGGTTTTTGTTCACTTTCTCATTATTAAAACCTAAACGGGAAATAAGTTTTGAGTATATTTTAGCGAATTTCGGTAACCACATGATTTTAATTTATTTTATCTTAATTAATCTTAATAAACTTGAAAGCGACAAACATTTTTGAATGGAGAATAAAAAGACCTTTCAAACGATATATCACAAGCCTATACGTCCTATTTTAAAAATTGTGGGTTGTACCTGTCATTCTAAGGGGGTTGAAGGTAGGGGTTGCATTTTCACGTTAAAGAATGTCAAGTTATAATTTAAATTGGACGTGTTTCGGGATTTATTTATAAATATGTACAGTTACCTAAATAATGAATTTATTCCATTTGTCTTTTACACACTGTATAATTGGTCTTCACCTTTAGTATTTAACATCAAATAGCGATCTTACATTGTTTATCTACTGTTTATGAGTGAAAAAATGACGTTTAATCTCTTACATATTTTGTTTATTAAATAAATTTATCACCAAATTTATCAAAAGCTGTTGTTAGATACCTGTATCAACGAGTGTCATGGAAACATCGTTAGTTCTCTGGTTTACTCTCGGATTTTCTGTTTTGATATTTACGTTACTTACACTTTCATTGTTTAAAACGTACAAAATGGATCTACTATCGACAGTTTACGTATATTGCTTTAAATACATGTAGAAGACATAAAAAATAGAAAAAAGATGTTATACTTACAACTGGCCATTCTTAAGGAACATATTTGTCTATCCAATGGGTATAACTTCAGGTTCATTGGACATGAAAGTGTGAGCGAAATTCTAAAATATTATTAATATTAAATTATAATAAAATGCAATAAACTATTGGGTTATACAAATACCCTTACAACATATTGATTAATACTCTAAAATAACCACCGACGTTTTATTTTATATTATCTTGTTATTCCAAGGGATGCTACTCAAAGTGAGTAAAATCTTTTTCAGTTACACAAATCTAGTTTTAAGTTTTTTAAAGGTGACAATCATAAATTGTCATTATGAAATAACTACCTAGATTTTAGACAAACGTCAAGTTTGTTTAAGTTTCGTCACGAAAGTTTTAGGACCCATTTTAGCGCCGCGCCGTTCATTAATTAAATCAAAGCGATGAAACAGTAGTGAGCACATGAATGCCAGATAATACAAACTAATATTTAGCAGTAACCAACATTTCGCATATTTATATGCTACTGACTGAATGTCGAGCTGCCAATCGTTTCGTGTGTGGAATGAGTCTGGTAAATTTATGCCAAATTACGTCAATTATAACACTGATTGCAACCTCATCATTGAGTTTGCTGTATTGATATCTATTATAATATATGCGTTCCACCTATTTATTATTCTTGGAAAAGGCCGTCAGAAACACACGAATGAGAGACGGCGGTACTGTTTACAAGAGATCGATACAAATCTTAGCATACGCTAATGACATTGACATAATAGGGCGTAGCAGGCCAGATGTTGAGCAATATTTTGTAGCCTTATAAATGGCGACAAAACAGGTCGGTCTAGTCATCATCAAAGAAAAAACCAAATACATACTGGGTACTGAGGATCCTATAGAAAGCAAGAAATGGGAAACAGTCTTTGGAAGACATATCTTTCACAGCTTCAGATAACTTCTCTCGCTATTGACTACTAGATAACAATTCCACTAAAAAACATACAAAGAAGAACGAATATTCTTCTTCTTAAGGTGCTCTCTCCATTCCTGTAGGTTGGCTATAACTATAGCAAATTGCTCTCTATCTTGAGCTGTTCTTCGTATCGAATGTGTGTCCATGCCTGTCCAGTCTCTTACATTTTTCAGCCAAGAGCATTTTCTTTTTCCTGGACCTCTTCTTCCTTCTAGTTTCTCTTCCATTATCAGTCGTAGGAATTTATATTTTTCTCCTCCAAGTAGAATCTTCAGCAGCCTTCGAAAAACCCACATCTCAAAGGCTTCTACATATCTCATACTTGTGATTCCGAGAGTCCATATTTTCACGTATAGCAATATGGAATAAATTAATGGTTTTACAAATTGATATCGAATATTCAACGATAAGGTAGAGTTTAGTAGGAATTTTTTCATTCTTTGAAAAGCGGACCTAGCATACTCTAGACGAGCACGTATTTCAACTTCGTAGTCAAGGTCTTTTGTTATCCAGCAACCAAGATACTGGAATTTTTGTACGGGTTCTATCTATTTGTTGTAGATACGAATATTAATGTCGGCATTTGATGCACGTGTAACAACCATTACTTTTGTTTTATTTGTGTTTATATTCAGCCTTAAGCTATCTCCTTCTCTGGTTATAGCATTCAAAAGTCGTTGTGAACCCTCAGCACTGTCCGCAATAATGACGGTGTCGTCTGTATATCTTGCAGTTGTTTACATATTTTCCGTTGATTTTTATTCCTTCTTCAATATTTTCGAGGACATTTTGGAAGATCTTTTCGGAATATATTATAACAATAGTGGAGAAAGTACTCAGCCCTGGCGAACTCCTTTTTTTACGAACGAATATTATTATATACAAAACATTGCTGAAGCCGGCTTTTATATGAAGCTCTTCTAACACAAAACGACGAATTATTCGGAAAAAATATTTGGAGTTATAAACGACCAAGAGTAGTGGTGCAACAGATATAACTTCGAATTATACCAACTCTGTAATCCACAAGACGCCGTAGGTACATCAGAAGATAGCAACATATCGCCAGAAATCGAACAGAATGTTTATTTGAGGAATTCTACAAAAAATCGCACCTTAACTGGAGCCAAATATGGTGATATTGCAATTTGCTGCCTGTACCCGGCAGTAACAATTTTTTTCTGTAGGTTGATACCAAAAAACATGTTTTCATGTGCGAGCCTAAAAAAAAGGCAAATTTAAGTTTTTTCCAACAAAAAACTGATTTGTTCGCTAAAGCTATTTCATTCTTCTAGCGATCTGCCTCGAAAAACGAGTGAAAGAGACGTCTATACTTTGAACACACGTACATATTAGGTACCAATCGCTTCGTCTTGGTCTCCAGAAGGAACTCTGACACTTTGAAGAGCCAAGAAACACCTGGTCAAAGCGTGGCAAGCGGTTATTCAGTCACTAAAATCGACGTTTTTTTCATTTTTTCGCGATTTTACCCGAAAATAGATTAAAAGCTACCTCTATAGTTGGAGCACACGTACATATCAGATACCAATCGCTTCGTCTTGGTCCCCAGAATGAACTCTGATCCTTTGAAGAACCAAAAAGAAAAGCTCAAAGCGTGGCAAACGGTTATTCAGTCCCTAAAATCGATTTTTTTTTTTCATTTTTTCGCGATTTTACGCGAAAATAGATTAAAAGATACCTCTTTAGTTGGAGCATACGTACATATCAGGTACCAATCGCTTCGTCTTGGTCCCCAGAAGAAACTCTGACCCTTTGAAGAGCCAAGAAGCACCTGCTCAAAGCGTGGCAAGCGGTTATTCAGTCCCTAAAATCGACGTTTTTTTCATTTTTTCGCGATTTTACCAGAAAATCAAGTTAAAATGACTTTCATTCGACAATTGAGTTTTCTAAAGGCGATTGGATCGTAGTAATTTATGATCAATGGTACGCAGGGGTAGTTGAAGAGGTAAACAACGAACATCTTGTAACAAAATTTCTCTCAACTACAAAAAATGGCTTTTGTTTTTTGAATCGACCAGAGCATACACAAAACGTTTTATCAACTCAAGTTTTATGTAAAATAGAATCGCCAGAACTAACTAAATTTAGAAATAAAATAATGTACAATATCAGTGAAAATCAGAAAAAAATGATTGAAAATAATGTAAAAAATAATATAGTTTTATGATATATTTGGGTATAATTTATATAATTAATATAATTTCTTTTTGAATCTAAAACAGTATTAAAATTTTATTTATTTCATATTATTCGAGCTTTAATATTTATTGTTTCTGTTAAACACAAGATTATTTAATATTATAAGTTCTTTTTTTATAGTGTTTAAATAATGAAGAATAAATATATTTATACCATTGTTAAATAGTATCTATCAATAATAAAAAATTTAGAATATTTTTGATGTATTGTATTCTATGTATTTATTTTTTTTACTTGACTAACTTTTATCTCGTTCTAATACTCAAACTAACAAAAAAAAGTTTGTTATAAAAAAAACAGAAGAAAAAAAATTGAATTGTATTTTCTTACTTAAAACACGATAAATTAATATGTGAAGGTTTTCAGCTATATTACAATTTACTATCTATAATTTGATGACGGATCAGGCTACATACTGAGGATCAAGTCACCAGCTTCCGATGGGTAGATGAACCTCACTTACGGAAGTCATTTATACTTGATTTTCCGGTAAAATCGCGAAAAAAAAAAAACGTCGATTTTAGGGACTGAATAACCGCATGCCATGCTTTGAGTAGGTGTTTCTTGGTTCTTCAAAGAGTAAGAATTCATTCTAGGGATCAAGACGAAGCGATTGGTACCTAATATGTATGTGTGCTCCAACTATAGAGGTATCTTTTAATCTATTTTCGGATAAAATCGCGAAAAAATGAAAAAAAAAACGTCGATTTTAGGGACTGAATAACCGTTTGCCACGCTTTGAGTTTTTTTTTTTGGTTTTTCAAAGGGTCAGAGTTTATTTTGGGGACCAAGACGAAGCGATTGGTACCTAATATGTATGTGTGCTCCAACTATAGAGGTATCTTTTAATCTATTTTCGGGTAAAATCGCGAAAAAATGAAAAAAGAACGTCGAGTTTAGTGACTGAATAACCGCTTGCCACGCTTTGAGCAGATGTTTCTTGGCTCTTCAGAGGTCAGAGTTCCTTCTGGAGACCAAGACGAAGCGATTGGTACCTGATATGTACGTGTGCTCCAAGTACTCTTTCACTCGTTTTTCGAGGCAGATCGCCAGAAGAATAAAATAGCTTTAGCGAACAAATCAGATTTTGTTGGTAAAAACTTAAATTTGCCTTTTTTGAGGCAAATTTTTATCGCACCTGAAAACATCTTTTTTGGTATCAACCTACAGAAAAAAATTGTTACTGCGGGGTACGGGCAGCAAATTGCAATATCACCATATTTGGCTCCAGTTAAGGTGTGAATTTTTGTAGAATTCCTCATTTACCTTTGAAGCTAATTTGTAACGTAATGCGGGTAGAGTCAGATCAATTCATGTAGTTCCACATCAACTGGAATGCTCTGGGGTTTCTATTTATTTGAGCCAGCATACTGACTATTTTCTAAGGAATTGTTTAGAAAAAAAAAGATAGTTTTCCGTAAACACAATATAAATTCTTGCATTAACAATATATTTACAATAAAATGATAATTAAGTAAATTTAAGCCTACATTTTTGACATGATGTATTTATAGACATACCCATTAAAATAACAAGATCGGCGATTTGAATATGACTAAACTAGAATTTAATAGAATTGTCAGTGACTTAATTCCTTCCGAAGTATTAAATACTTAATAGAAAAAAGCTAAATACTGATTTATTTATCCTCTTTATCCATTTTTGCTGTTACAGACAAAGTAAACTCACAATGTTGCGAAATTTACTATTTACTACAACGTAATTATCGAATTTTTATCCATATTTGTTTTGATAGTAGTAAAACACTTGGCAATTGCGTAATCTCGAATGCAAATAATTAAGTAAATCAAGTATTTCATGAGAGCGCAGTCGAACAAACTTGAAAACTGTTTCCATTGATAATAAAGATGACACGTGGTGGCTCCCTTTGAGAAAAAACAAATGATCAAGTCAGTA